GGTGCTTAGAAGCTTGCATTTTGATTTTCAGTCACCCCAGGACCACCCTTAATAATAATACAACACTACCAAAAATTGGAAGGGCTTTATGGGCACCAGCAGGTTCCATCTGAGGGTGCTATGGTGCCCATTGGCACCACGTTGAGGACTCCACTCTTGGATAACATGTTCAACTGTGAAAGGAACCAGATTCTTTATTTCCAAAGATGGCCCGAAGTGCTTATTTCAAAGGATTTGCAAAAGTTATGGTAATTACTTAGCTATGGTAACTTGCCCTGTATTGGTATATAACATATTAGTAAGTTAAAATAATTCATTTGGAAGATATTGGGATTAACTTGTGTGTGTGTGTGTGTGTGTGTGTGTATTACAAAGACTCCCTTAGAACTGTAATATTCATGCTCATTAAAATTCAGGAGGTCTAATAATAAAGCCACAAAAGGATACAAGTATGAGTCAGTGAAGCATGGCTAATTACAGCAGTTTTCAATCATGCAACCAACAATTGGCACGAAACTAGGTTTCTATTAAATACATACTTCTGGCGATATTTTGTGTGGAGGGAGAGGCTGCGATCGGAAAGGCTCTTAGCATTTTATTTTTTATTTTTTTGGCCATAAAAACAGTGAGTCTGTTACATAAGCATTGCATTCTGCATTGGCATTTTGTTATCATTCCTTTGCCCCCATGATGCTGTTTGCATCGATTTTGGTTTTAAAAGCAAGGTACAGAAGTGAGTGAAGAGTCTTAAAAGACCAACTGTAATGGCTCTTCAGATGTATTCTGCAATGTTTCTGTTAGGTCTCCAAAGATGTTTCTGTTGTTAAGCCTAATGAGTGGATTACGTTTGTTTTTTTCTGCCCAAGATCAGAATTGACATAAATCTCCACCTCCCTCCGAGATTTGTCTGCGGGAAAGAGAACTTCCAGGAACAAAATTATGTACTTAGTGTAATCCTGGGGTAATTCGCTCCAAATGTTGTTGGAATCTCAGCTCTCATCAGTTTCAACCAGCATGGCCAATGGTCAGGGATGATAGAAGTTGCAGTCCACAATTTATAGACAGCACCGTGCTGGCTAGTTCCGCTTGCTGTAAGCCTATGTACCGTATTTTTCGCTCTATAGGACGCACTTTTTCCCCTCCCAAAATTAAGGGGAAATGTGTGTGTGTCCTATGGAGCGAATGCAGGCTCCTTGGCTTCAGCGATAGCAACGCGAAGCCTCCGAAGCGCAGAGGGAGAACTCCCTCCGCGCTCCGGAGGCTTCATGCTGCTTTCGCTGAAGCCTGGAGAGCAAGAGGGGTTGGTGCACACCGACTCCTCTCGCTCTCCAGGCTTCAGGGATAGCCACCTGAAGCCTTTGGAGCGCAGCGGGAACTCGCGCTGCGCTCCGAAGGCTTCGGGTTCCTTTTGCTGAAGCTGGGAGAGCAAGACTCTCCCGGCTTCAGCAGAGAGGGAGAGCTGCGCAGCAGCCCTTCAGCAAAGTGGGAGGAGAAATGGAAGGGGCTCCATTTCTCCTGCCACTTCGCTGAAGGGGCGCTGAGCAGAGAGGGGGAGAATTTTTTTTCCTTGTTCTCCCCCTCTAAAACAAGGTGCATCCTATGGTCGGGTGCGTCCTATAGAGCGAAAAATATGGTATGTCTGCTCAGGAACAAGTGCCACTGGGTTCAAGCATACTGAACTTACAGGTAAATCTGTTTGGTATTGCAGCATTAACAGAATGGGCAAAAAACATGTATTTTCTGTACTATTCCCCCTTAGAGCAATGGAGCACCATCCAGCTCCATTGCTTCCTTTAAAAAAAAAAAAAAATATTATTAACAGACCAATCAAATCAAATCACATGACATAAATTCCGAATTACAAAGCCGAATTTTAAATTTTTGTTGAGGGGACCCATATTTCAAGTTCCGAAGGGGGATTCCGATCGTCTTCTTGCTACTGCGTTAATATCCAAATCAGTCCAAATAAAGTTCATAATTCTATCCAGTCTTATCTTGCTGTTTCCACATCTCATCTTGTTCATACATTTTTTATTTTTTCCTTATGATCTCTTCTGGTAATCTCCTTAAGCAGATAAACACCAATTGTAATCCTGTGTGAATTTTTCCGTTCGTCCAATCCTCATATCGAGATGGTTTCCATATATCATCGCTTTCATAAATAACATCGCTCTTTCCATCATTTATCTCGCAAACTGTCGTTCTTGAGTCCCTCTGAGGACACAATATAAAAGCAGCTCTATTCCTCCTCCCAGACCCAAGTCCTCTGACAGAGCTTGCCAACATGGCGACGGTATTTTTAACTGCGTTATTCCAAAGCTCTTATGCATTCCACGATCTTCTTAAAACATGCTTTGGTTAGAAAATTTATCTCCACACAGTCTTAAATCCACAACTTAAGTCATTAAAACGACATTTCTGACTTGTGGGGGGGGGGATTCTTGTTTAATCACATAGAGGAAAGAAAGGAAAGTTTTTTCCCCCTCCTCCATCCAGTCCCTTTGCCATACCGAGTCTTGGCGTATCTTCTCATGATTTATTCTTGTTCCTCCAACTCGTCTTGTTTATCAGAGATCTCTTCAGTTAGCAGTCTTTACTCCCCCTCCTTCCTTGAAATATGTGCATTCGCTTCCTCCTAATTGATTCTTTTGAAGTTCTTGCAGCTAGTGGCGCGGATCAGAGACAGCGTCCAGGAGCGCCGAGATCCCACAGGAGGACATTCTGCCTAGTGCCCCCATCCCCACAAATTCGGGGGTGGTATAGGGCACAGCAGGCAAGGGCAGCCCCCCCACAACCTTGGGGGGGGGTAGGGAGGCTATTTACTCCCATCACAGCCTCCTAATTACCTCGTGTGGGTCGGAGAGATGTTATTGTCAGCCATCTTCCGATGCGCCCCTAGTGGCCCCTGCAGCTCCATTGCTTCCTGTGGGAATTCCTGTATCCGTTTTCAAAGCATGTGGGGTCAAAGCAACCTCATGCACTAATCCACTACAGCCACTACAGCTGGATTGCACATTTTGAAAAAAGAACATGAATCTCTTTTAGAGAGACAGAGGCAGCACTGCAGCCTTCAGACTACTTAGTACAGTGGTACCTCGGGTTAAGTACTTAATTCGTTCCGGAGGTCCATTCTTAACCTGAAACTGTTCTTAACCCACTTTAGCTAATGCCGCCACGCCGCCAGAGCACGATTTCTTTTCCTATCCTGAAGCAAAGTTCTTAACCTAAGCACTATTTCTGGGTTAGCGGAGTGTGTAACCTGAAGCGTATGTAACCTGAAGCATATGTAACCCGAGGTACCACTGTATGTTCTTTACATAATGGCAACAACAACAAATGCCTGTGTTTTCCATTAAAATTTCCCGGGATTTGGCCGTCAGGAGCCCATGTTAGAAGTGGTGAATTCCGAAAAAAATAGCCAAAGAACCTCTTACAAAAAGAAAAGAAAAGCTGAACAACTTTTGTATCCAGATTTTCACTTTCTGAAATACAGCCAACCCTACAGTAGAAGCCTCTGTGTTCTAAATGCCATATTTCCCCGTGTATATAAGACGCCCCCATATATAAGACGACCCCTATTCTTTGAGCCCAAAATTAAGAAATAAATAATCACAACTTTCCGTGTATAAAACAACCCCCCAATTTTAAACTTTAAAAATTGGGAAAAAACCATAGTCTTATACACGGAAAAATACAGCAGTTTTAATTATGTGCTGCTGTCTTCTGCTTTTTACTGTGTGTGGGTTTTTAAAAAAATAAATAAATTATATAAGCTGATTTTGAAAAACAACAGATGTGCTCCTTGGGGATGTGCCAGATGAAAATATAATTAATATTAAGTCTAGAAATTGTTTAATTTGGATCTCTTACCTGCCCTTTGCCATAATACGTTCCCAGGCTGGGTTACAACAACGTAAGTAATATAATTGGAAAATAAAACAAAACCACGAACCCCAAACAGCCATGAATTAATTAGCAATTTCCATGTAGGCACTGGCGGAGGAAGAGGGGGGCAGGGGGAGCGCACCGCCCCCGGGAGTGTGGTCCCGGTGGGGTGCCATCGCAGCTGCCCCCCGGCACTGGGTGCCACGCCCCTGCAGGAGGCGTGCCACACCCCCAGGACGCACGCCACACCCCTGCAGGCGGTACGCCACGCCCCTGTCTGCTTTCGCCACTGCATGTAGGTCATAAAATTTTACACCAACATTAGAGGCCCGTAACCCCAGTCCCAGGGATAATAACAATGAGGCTAGCTGTGTGATACACATAGCGTACCTGCTAATACAGCAATGTTGACCTTCTATGGGTGGTAACTGGAACATATTGTGTTGGCTGCTGGTCCTTTGCTGTGCTGCCATAGAAAGTTGCCACCAGATCCTTGGCTCATAATACTGAGCCTTTCAGAGCTATTGTTGTGGCATCCATGCAAATGTGTCAGTGTGAAGTTTTAGATTTAATCGCAATACAATGGATAGTGATTCTCTGTTAGCCCAGAAGACAACCCCTCAAACGTAAACAGTTATCAGCTCCTAGGATCCAGTTGAACCTGACAGCGTGTCAGCGTCTAGGTTCAGATCAAAATCGCCTCCAGTTCCACACACAAAAACCTCCAGCATTCATAGCATAATATTTAAATGGATCCTTATAAACGCTTAAGGTTCTCATTAGTTTAACATTAGAGGACCAATGAATATTAATGTTTGACATCAAAGAAAACATCTAAAAATCAAAGCAAATAAACACCAATTATATAATGCTGCAAAACATAAGGGGCAAGGCTGTAATTGGGTTGGCATCTTTAATCTGTGAAGGCTGCTCAGTGTTAGACTTCTTGTTACTCTAAACTCTGAAATAATGACACAAATGAAAACTGAAAGGAGTGGGCAGCAGGGATGTGTTGGGTATATAGCCTGGCAACATGTAACTCAGATATATATACACACACACACAGTGACCCCAAGGTAGATTACTTTTAATATTTTAAATACTTTGAGGGATTCGGTAATCCCTCAATCTACTGCTAAAAATGGCCGGTTGATGTGCTACTAAAACAGCATTCAGATAAGTAGATTATATCAATACAGCCTCCAAAGCAGATGTATCTGATTGTCGTAGCTTTTAGGTAGGTCTCTTTATTTTGATACACATTCAATATTTATAAATGTTAAGGGGAAGCAGTTGATCATGGTTAGTTTGGGCTGGCTTGGATGCAAGAAGAATCGTTGGCGTTGCATGGTAAAAATGAGCTTTCCCCTATCCAGGCTTCCACCTGCTCTGACTGACTTTGGTATTTGAACCCAGACAAACTATGATTAATCTTAATTATGGTTAGTGGAAATGAAACAACTTCAAATAATACTTTTAGAACTAGCTCATTTTCATTAAGATTCTCTGTATTTTGTCTGGACACACTGAACTGTGGTTTAATCTAAAAAATGGAAGCAACCGGCCATGGGTTTCATGGCTAAACCATAGTTTTGCGGTATGTTCTCACACTATTAAAAATTATATATTGTTAAGAGTTTGTACCAGACTCTCCAAATTCCTGGGTCCAGTAGGGGTTGGAATTTAGTCAATTCAAATGTTAAAATATAAGCCAGTTTCCTGACCAGGAAGTCAACTGTGGTGATGGGCCATTAGGAGGACAAAAGGAAGGTGATGGACCATTAGGAAAGAGACGGAGCTCTGTGCCAGATGGCAAATGGAGGGGCCCCTCCCTCAACTCAAGACAAAAAAGGAGAGTTTAAAGTAGAGTCTTAGAGTTGAGTTGTCCATGATGTGATCTAGGGGGAAAAGGTAGCAGGCTGTTGAAGACAGAAAGCTAGAGAGAGGATCGGAGCCATGGCTGATACAGTGGTACCTCAGGTTACATACGCTTCAGGTTACAGACTCCGCTAACCCAGAAATAGTGCTTCAGGTTAAGTACTTTGCTTCAGGATGAGAACAGAAATCGTGCTCCGGCGGCGCGGCAGCAGCGGGAGGCCCCATTAGCTAAAGTGGTGCTTCAGGTTAAGAACAGTTTCAGGTTAAGAACAGACCTCCGGAATGAATTAAGTACTTAACCCGAGGTACCACTGTACCTATTTGAATCCATGGCTGCAGCTATGGGAGAAATAAGTCCCTCTTGGGATGTCAGTGGTGTGAACCCCTCCATCGTAGGCTCAGGTTGTATATATGTGTAAATAAACCATATATCATAAAGACACCACAATCTGTGCTGTGCCTCATTTCGAAAAGGAAACACGAACCCTGGGTACGTGCGTCTGGAGCGCCTGGATTCTTGCCCCATTCAGAGATTGGGATGATGCGCAACAATATATAATGGCTTGTATCCAAAGAGATGTGTGTATACACAGTGCTGCTCCGTTTTTCTTCCTTTCTGGAAATAGGCTCTCACAGATTGCGGCAACAGAAACTCCCTGATGTTCAGGGATTTATTTATTTTTAGGAGGCTCCTTCTGGAAACCTATGAGCATTCTGTTGAATCCTGACCAATACCTTTTTTAAAGCCCCCTACCCCACCCAAAGTGGAATCCAGCCAGATGCAATGCATTTTTTATTTCTTAAAAATAATTTAACGTCCTGTGGAAATGTGTGTGGCAAGGTATTTGGGCTGGTTAGTGCTCCTTAAGGTAGCATCAGGAGCTGTCACTGTTGTAAACACCATGAGACAGAGCAGTTGTACTGTGGCGATTGGTGATATGGTATTTCTCTCGTCAAACAGAGATTTCAACAGAATGTTGCTAAGGGAAGTTGGGCTGGAATGACACTTTCCCTCATTAGAATGAATACCGTCAGATGGGTTACATTCGGAAATATATTCTGTGACTGGCATTTTGAAGCTGTCTTTCCTTGTCTGGCTCTTCCAAACTTTTGTTCAGAACCGCTTAGATGTTCCTCTTTCCTGAGGTATTTTTTTCTAGAGGGGGGAGGGATTAAAAAATCAATTGTCCACATTCTTCCTCCTTTGTTGGGATTCATTCATATAATCATATTGTTCAGCTGATCTTTGTGATGCCAGTGGAACTGCCCCATAAACTACTTCCTATTAGTCTTTATTCCCCCCTCCCCCTGAAAAGGAGAGCCCATGTGATGCAGTGACATTTCATTATATTTTTAGCTGTACACGTGAGATGTTTTATTCCAGAGGTCACCGACCGTTTTAGGCCTGTGGGCATATTTAATAATAATAATAATAATAATCTTTATTGCGGTCCATCGACCCATAACATGGATTCAGAATAAAATACAGTTTCATACAGACAACCCCTCAGGGAAGGGAGACCGAAGCGTTATGTTGATCTTTGATTCGTATGACTACTGAAAGAAACTTTGCCACTGTGATATCATTGGACTTGTTGTCCAGAAGATATTTGATATAGTAGGCTTCAGATTGACCTGGCCGATTTGCCAATAGTGGTTTAATCAATAGTTCCCTAGCTTGATCATATTGTCCGCAAGAGGGCATATTTGGATTTTGGAGCAAGTGCCTGGTCATTTCTCTCCCCTCTGCACAAAAGAAAGTGTGTATACACAGGGTAAAAAGGATCGGGGTAGAAAGTTAGACCCAGTAGAAATATTCTGAGCCTTCAAAAACACATGGAGCTAAAACAGAAAATGGGGGAGAGCATCACTCAAAGATGTTCACTGTCTCAAGAGGGCAGTAGCTGGGTGTGGGGAAGGAGGGGTCTGAGGCCTGGGGAATACCTCAATATGCAAATATGCATATGATATGCATATTTACAAAGATGTGTTAATCACACAGGAACGCCATCAAAAGGGAACTGCTAGCAAATCATACATCTCTCTCCATACCCTATTTTCTTTTAGTTTACATTTGTTTTGTTCTTTTAGGGTTTAGCTGGAGGTGTTAGGGGGGGAAACAGAGCACTCTAGAAGTTAGTTATAATTTCTATGTGGATGGGGGTTCCTCTCTCTTATGTCTTACAGCTAGTGCTACAGACTTTTTGGTAGCAGTGGTGCCGGCAATGGGCTGAGAAGGAGAGACAGCTATGTCAACTTGTCCTAATTCTAGCCCTGATCCTCCAGTCGTACTGTATAAATGCTTCTCTTGAGCTGTTTGCAGAAGAGCAATAATACAGAAGTGTTATGAGAAACCACACAGTAGGAAGACTACCTTTGAATTGTGGCCTTCAGAGACGACAGTTTTAGCATATCCATGTTGCGTCCTGTTCAGGGGAGAAGCTACAAGAATAATTGCTAATCTGGAAAAACAGGTAGAATTGAATGAAACAGGAGGTTTATGAAACTGGGGGTTCTAGAGTTGTCCATGCAGTGGAAGACACAGCAGTTCTGGGCAGAGAAGACTAATTAAGGCTTTTGATAACCTAGATGAGTGTGAGGTCAACGTGGAAAGAGAATGAAGAATGGTAATATGATTTTTCTTCGGCCAGAGCAGGGTGGGGCACACCAAAGAAACTAGGTGCATTTAGGATTAGAAATTGAATTAAATATTTCCGGAAGTTAGAATAAGGGAAACCACAGGTCCAATAGGGCAAAGCCTTTCTTTTTTCCTGCCATGTGTGCAATGGAAAAATGATTAGAATTTCAGATGAGGATTGCCTAGAGAAACTGACACTTTAAAACATGGTTTGAATCTGGCTTTGTGTTGTAGCTGTTCTCCATTCGGCCGTTGGAGTGCTTGGTTTTCTCGAGTCTGAATGCTCAGTGTCTCTGTGTGGAGAAACAGCGCTGGACCTGCGCAAGCAGTTTAGGGGATAATCTGGGGGGAAAGGCAACGTAAAGAGGAGAAGACAGAGAATAAAGTTGCATTGCAGAGGATGGTACGAGAGAGTTGTTAGGAGTATAGAGTCAAAAAAACCCCACATCCATTCACCAAAATCATTAACACTTTGGCAAGCCAGTGACTCTCTTGGGCTACAATCCCAAAGCACACTTTGGCAGAAAAAAAAAGTCTGACTTCCAAGTTAAAAAAAAGAAATGTAATTAAGATCAGGTTGTTCGTCTCTTAAGAGCATCGAGAATCCATTTATGGCTTCTCACATATGGCCTTATTGCGTCAACAGTTGCATTCTCTCTCCATCAGGCTGTGCGCACTGACTAGTTATTACCACTACAATGAAGATTTTGCTAGCACATAATTTCACTGATTCATTCTGAACTCACCATGGCAAGAAATAATCCTGAATGCCTTCGCCTTACTGCCGAGGCTTCACCAGATGCTGTTGTACCAGTAAAGTTTCATTGCTGAGCAACTGTAGTATATGGAGCCATCTGGGGCTGCACCATGTAGATTGTTTGAAGTGGAGAAGCAGCAGAATTCTAGTTTCCTTCTGCCTGCCTGCTGGGCAGGAATCTCCTGGGGGTGCTGTGGAGCAAGGTGACCCAACCTTTTAAAATAAAACAATATTCATTTTATTGATTTTTATTTAAAGTATTTATTGGCTGCACGTCATCAGATTTCTGTTCTGCATACAAAATTGAAAATAATTCAAAAAACACAAATGGATGGTTTTTTATTTTTAAAAAAGTCCAATGGTGAAATAAATTATAGAAGAAGCTAAAACACAACACAGCTAAGTAAGAAAAGCAGTTACTACCAAAACTAAATAAAAAATGCAAACAGGGAAATCTCAGCCTAGTGCTGGAAAGATAGTAATGTTGGGACTGAATGTAGCTCTTTAGGGAAGAGTTCTAAAGTTGGGACAACACCGCAGAGAAGTGCCTCCGCAACAGCATAATTCCAATTATTTCATTCATCTCCCACCTTTTCTCCAAAGAGCTCAAGGTGGTGTACATAGTTCTTCCAAATCCACATAGCATACCTCTGTTAAAGATGGTACTGGGAGAAGATCTCTGCAGAATATCTTAAGACTCCTGTTTTAGGGGGAGTGTATCAGGCTGGAAATTACTCACCAACAGTACAGGGGTTGTATCAAGTCTCAAGTTTGTTCATGCTTATCAGTTCCATAATTGTGCTCAAGGAGGTTGTGCACAGCCTCACATCTGTTTGATGTCCTTTGGCTACCAGTGACACCTCATCCTAAATCTCTGAATGACCTCTCCCTACCAGCAATTTCATGTAGATGCTAAATCTCATCGGAGAAAGAGTTGATCCCTGTGGGGCCCTGAAGCATAGCTGCCTAGGGATCAAGGAGTAATCTCCCAGTTCTACTTTCTAAAATCAGCCCTCAGTTAGGAGGGGAGCCACTCCGACTGCATGCCTTCAACACCCCATTTCAGAGAGCCTGTCCAGCACACTGCTGCCAATGGTATTGAAAACCACCATAAAAGTCTAGAAGAATCAACAAGGTCACACATCTCCTGTCTCTCCTAACAAAGGTTTATCCCACAGAGTGAGCAAGGCAGTTTCCAACACAAACCTGAAATCTGATTGAAAAAGATCTGTATGATCCAAGAGTAACTGGAGTTTCCCAGGGTTGTGTCTTAATTTGTTCCATTGATTTCTTTAAAAAAAAAAAAATAATAGTTGAAATAGTCACAAAAGATAGCCATTATATATATATGATACATAGAAATAGTTATAAGTAAATTGAAGACAAGAGTGAAAATGCCTTTAAAATCTTGCGGTGCTTGCTGGTAAAAACAAAGGAAGCGCGAATCCTTTCAAATAATTCATATTTTCATTTGCCATCTCACAAATGAACGAATTCGGAGTTTAGCCGCTGGAGCCAAATGCCAAGTCTTTTGAAGCCTTTCATGAATCGTTAGCTGTTCAGACTCTCTTCATTTTATAGCCATTAAGTGGTGTGTGTTTTTTGCAGCTGTTAGATTTCACACCAACTCAAAATGTAGGAACTGAACTCTGCAAGAACCCCAACAAGACACAAAGCAGGTTCAGTTGAAGCGCGTCAGTTATATTACCATCAAACTTCCACTAAATGCGCATAGTGCCAAAGAGATTGTGGAACTTCAGTAGGCAGCGTTTCCCATGATTGCTTACCCACCTTTCACCATAAGGTCACAGGGTGGATTACAACACAATATCCGGTTATAAAAAACCCACAAATAAAACAGATGCTGTTTTAAAAGCAAAGAAGAACAATATCAACTAAAAGACGAAGGTCCTACAACACAAAATTTCTTAATAGTCATTCTTCCACCTTTTAGATATTGTTCAAAAGAAGTCCTCTCTGAGTCCAGCTTTCCTAGGCTAGAACTCCATGTTATAAGTGTTGGCAGAAACAAAGCGGCGCCTTTCTTTTCTTCTTTTTAGTGATGAACTAAGTCTGATGTTTCATTTTTAACATAATAAACATTAAAGCCACCGGGCAAGTGAAAGGTGTGATTCCAAAATAAATGATGGCAGTGAGGGAAAATTTTGGGAAGCATTTCCCTAAAGTTTGTAGAAGAGATGGGTTTTGTTTTAACTTTGAGACAATATAACAAAGTAAAAATAAATAAAAAAGCCAAAAGTATTTTGGAATTCAGGCTCAAGAACATACCATGGGCATCTTCCTTCACATTAAGCTTCTGTGTTATTACTTGCAAACATGTGGCAGTATAATGAAGCATGAGTTCTAGAAAGTTTAAAAACCTTTACTGTATCATTTCTGTAAAAGAGCAGCCACAACTCTGTGTGGTTTATTGTCCCAGAAAATGCAAGGATCAAATCACAATTTCTCCAACGACTCTAGCATGATTGGGGTAGTTAAATTCACAAACATAAACATCAACCAAAGCAATATATTCATTTCCAGCACAGAAATCATTCGAGTCCAGGAAATTTCTAACACAGACTTTCTTAGATCACTGGCAATATCATTTATGGGGGATGTAATTGCATTGAAATGAGTCATCTGTTGTTTGTGTTGCATATATTCATAAGTATCTGACACACTTTCTTCCAGAAGTTTCAATAGGACTTGGCCATTACTAACTTTTGACATGCTGAGGTCCGAGCTATTGCATATACCTTTCTATACGATGTTTATGGAAAGGTGCCTATTTGCCATTCCAGGTATAGAGAGATTGGTGTAACTCTTGTCAACTGACTTTCTGGGTTTGCCTCCTGCTTCTCAGCTTTTTTCCAGCATCGCTTTCTCTTGTTCTTGATTGATATTTGTTTGTCATTTGTTTCTTCAACTTCAAAGGCTTGAGGAACATTTTGATAACTTCAGTTCCTCTTTTTCCTAGGTCCGGGGACTTCTCAAGTCTTGACATATTCACACATCTGGAATTCACTCTTGCCTTCCTACAGATGCTACCAGTGTTGTGGTTATTTAATTTATTCATTTATCTCATTCAGTTTATGAATTGCTTTCTATAAGACATTAGAAGGTTATTTAAGAATGAGTGAAGTTCCATGGTCAGAAATACTCAAAGGGAAGGGAGCCCTAGATGGATGAGAGTTTCTTAAAGGTGAAATATTGAAGGCACAAAAGCAGACAATTATAAGAAAGAAAAGTGGAAGGCACCTAAAGAAACCAGTGTGGCTGCATAAGGAGCTTACAGATGGAGTAATCTTGTTTTCTCTTGCTCCAATGGATTCAAGTTATGAAAAAGGAGATTTCAACTAAGCATCATGTGATGGGATTATGAGCTGCTTGTGCAGGAGACAGCTGTGTGGAGCAGCCCAGCAGGAACCGGAGAAGCAGGGCTGGAGCAGATTCCCAAGCCTGGAAAAAGTGCCGGGTGTTAGAGGTCCAGCTGGCGCTGCAGGCTGGCGAGGCTGGAGGAAGGAGGCTCAAGATGCAGACAAGGGAGAAAAGCCACCCAGCTCGCCAGAAGGTGCCCAGGATTGGTGCAGGAGGATGTGGGAGGCCACAAAGACTATCATAGCTTTCGGACAGAAATGCAACCATGCCCTCAATCCTGCGGTTTGATTGATTTTTCCCTGATGGGGAGTCACGGGTGGCTTTTTGTGGTTGGGCATCTTGAAGGGCGAGAGACTGAGGTTAGGCCCCTGATGGCAGCGAATAGTGGCTCTATAAAGACACCCGATGCAGTTCCTCTCGCGCCCTGGATCTGATGTGTTCCAGCGATATTGACACGGGAGTGGTGCGCAGTCAGTTCATGGCTTGCAATCAGGGGAGCCGATCTGTACGTGAGTACTGGACTGTGTTCACCATGCTGTTAGACAGATTGGGGTGGGACTTATCAGCGGAACCCATTCAAATGCTCTTTGAAGAAGGGCTTTCTTCGGCTGTGACAGATGAACTCCCCGGGCGCCAGGGCGGGTCTATGGACCAGCGACCAAATCAGCGCTGGCCATAGGAGGCGCGCCGGAGGCGAGGCATTGGAGGCGGGAGGGAAGGGAGCGTTGGAAGGAGTTCCGCATTCCAGACATTCCAGAGCCAACTGTCCCGCCGGCAGAGCCGATGGAAATCGAACAGCGCGCGCGCGGTTTAAAGCCCAGTGAGGGGAAGAAGGATGGAAAAGGCGCCCGGAAATGCTATCTCTGCCAGCAGCCAGGGCGCTTTGCCAGAGTCTGCCCCCAGAGGAAGGAATGGCAGGGATGGTGGGAGCTGTGGAGGAAGAGAGGAAAAATGCCGGGCAACTAAAGCCAGCGCCTGGGCTGCCATTGTCAGGGCACAGCAGCCAGGCCAAAAAAGAGCAGTGGTGCCCGCCAGAACCTCTAAACCCGCCCTAGTGATAGAAGTGACACTAGAGCTGCCAAACGGACACCCTCTAAAGATAAGGCGCTGTTGGACTCAGGCAGCTCCTGCAATTTCATGAGCAAAGAGTTTGCAGCTGAACACCAGATACAGACGCTCCCTTTAAGCAACCCCCTGCAGGTAACCACGATCGTGGCAGGGGGCTGTTGGGAGGAGGGTCAGCTTGCAGACCGTCCAATGATAATGGAGAGGTGGCAAGGCACACTGAACTGATAGCCTCTAATGTGGCCACCTTGTGGGAGGAGCTCCCATTAT